CCGACCCACACCCACACCCACATCTACACCGACCCACACCCACACCCCTAGTTTTACTCTAGAATATACAGGAAGCGTGAAAAATTAGAGGAAGCAATAAGTTCTTATTGATTCCAATAATTTATTTTAGGGGTTGCAATTGCTAACTATTGCATTGCTGGCGCGCCGCCTATGCCCACACCCACACCCATACCCTAATTTTACATGAAAATGATCCACCAAGTTTACAGTCATACTGTTGCATATTATCGAATTAATCTATTAAATTAATCTATATAGTAATTATTGCTCTATTCAACCATATACTAACTGGAAAGATTACAATCATTCAATGACTTTAATTTACTCAAGAATACAGAATTCAATTTTTTTCTTTAAAAAATTGTTCGAAAAATCACTAAATTTTTAGTGAAAGTTTGATTAAAAGAAATGAATTCTCTCTTGAACTATCCCATCTGTAATAATTAATCGAATTATTCCCAGCGAACATATTGAAATTTCGCAGAGAAAAATTTTTTTATGAGTTTTTTTAAAAATCTTTGTTTTTTTTCTCATCTATGTGAAAAATAAATCAAATAAAAGCATATAATTAGATAGAACAAACAATGTTCTATCAAATAACATAAAAATGTAGAACTTCTGATTTTTTGTAGAAGCACAGCAGACTAGATAAAAATACATATTAGTTGTGTACGTCAAATCAGTATAATAAATAGATAGATAATTACTCGTAAATCTTTTAACAGTAGTTTTTGATGGTGATATTACAGATATGAATGTTACTTATTGACAAGTAAAAGAAAAACGGCATCATTATAACGCAGCCTCACTGAAAAATCATTTTTTTCTTTTTGTGCTTTCAACTGTATGGTGAGTAATAAAATGAAAGCAGGGATATGTAATTAACAAACGATTGCTAAAGAAACATAATATTAAATTTTTTTATTTCTTTCAGTGTGTAAACATCTCATCAACAGTTTTCTGTCACTGCATTTTCGAGTTTGTGTCAATAAAAATTCCTTAAAATCATATTAATTCAGTTTCTCTTTATGGTCATTGATTCGCAAGTATTCTGTATTCCAAAAATCGAGAGAACAACTGCGATTAGCACCATACTGAAGAAGTTTCAATAATCAGTTCTATAGAAAGATGTGTACGAAAAGAGGATAGATACCTAGCATCATAAGCATTTAAAAATACCCAAACATCATATATACTATGTAACAGAATCTGTTTTTCCAAAAAATTTAAAAAAAAACAGAAGAATGACACACAACACGTTGTTAAACAGAAAGAAAAGAAAAGCCAGGAACATTCTTCATAGTTTCTTACAATGTGATGAAAGTATCTCATTAGTCGTAAAAAAAATGTGTACATCTATCATGGAAGATAATTTCATCAATATTAATTTTTTAACTAATTAGTAAATAAGGACGACAATAATTTTAAAAATGATAAACATCGAATTGTCTCTAATCTACCGATAAAATAAATAAATTATTTAGTACATGTTGAATTTAATATTTAATATTCGTATTAATTTCACTGAAAAAAATGAGCGTAGAATAATAAACCCTTCAAAAGGGTTTATTAACCTTATAAACGCTTTCATATACCCTTTTCCTTCATAAACCCTAAGAACGGTATATTATTCGTTGCACTTTTATAAACCCTTTAAGGGTATATGAGCTGTAATATACCCTTAAAGGGTTTATGAAAGTGCAACGAATAATATACCGTTCTTAGGGTTTATGAAGAAAAAGAGTATATGAAAGGGTTTATGACACCAAAAGGGTATATGAAAGCGTTTATAAGGTTAATAAACCCTTTTGAAGGGTTTATTATTCTACGCCTATTTTTTACAGTGTTTAACTGTTCGATTTGAAAACTATTAATATGATGAATTATGATATTATTTGATTCGTGTGAGTATTAGGTTTCTTTTCACTCATACATGTAAAATCGAGTCGTTTTTCAAATGAAAATTCTTATAGACTGTCTAATTATATGATTCTTCTTCCTTATTATTAATTATTTGATACAATGTGTTTTATTTTAAATATTTAAATTAATTTATAACTATTGGATTTAAATTAAATCTAACAAATTTTATTATATTTGATCTTAAATGACTGAAAAATCAATAAATAAATACAAGAAAATTATAATAATTAATAATATAGCATTTCAGCATACGAGGATGTCTTCATCAGGCTTTTCTACGTATTAGATTTTTCTTTTTAATATTAAATACCCTATGTTTAACATATAAAATAAAGAATAAAATTTTCAAAAAAAGAAAAATCTAATAATACAAAAATCTGATGAATATATCCTTGTTACTAGAATTTTCTTCTAAAACTTTTATTATTCTTTAATATAATTTCCAAATCAAAAATATAATAATAAATTATTATGAACAAGATTGTATTTGATTATTACTTACACGTACATGATAGTCCTGCATCAATTTATGATTCATTGATAAGCGTCTCTTGTGATTATTTTCTGATTTTTTAGAAAATGATGATTATATATCAACATTACTCTGGCATTCTTCTATTTCTTTTTTTTTACTTGCAAATTTCGAAAAATTTTCATTCATCTCCAAAAATAACTCCTTCCCGAAAGTCATATGATACATAATTAAAATAAGTTTTGCGATTATTTATTTTTTCTAGATCAAAGCAATCGGAAGAAAGTTGGTGCAAGTCGAACTCTATCGAGTTCAACAATACTTGCTAGATTATTGAGATCAAGTCGAAAAAAATTTGTCTTCACGCACATCAGCTTATGATTATTACTTTGCTACTAACGTTCTAGAAACACTGTTAATTTAGTCGGTAATTTAATTGAAAATATTAAGCAGGTCACCTTTTGTTTTCATCGATAAAATTCTTAGATATTTCATGTTTTTATTTAGATTAACTCTGCACGTTTGTCAAAATCCAATATATTTTTTTTTATTCAATGTGCAAACAAAAGTAAACATATGGTGAAAACTATATATCATGTATCTAATTAGGATATTTTAAATTATTGAGGATGTTAAATTGTTTTGCTATTAACTGTTATAAAATTGGCCGTGTCTTAAGGCTAAACATCGAAAAAAGAATTAAAGAATGATCTATATTAGTTTATTTGAGAAATAAAGAAATCATGCAAATGGAAGCATTATTAATAAAAAGACATATTTATCAATTATAGAAATGATTAAAAATTTTCTATTGAAATTCAACTCATTTACTGCTAGATTTCTTATATATGTAATTATACGATCTCTATTCGATATTTAAGATCCAGAATACAAACATACTAATTTTTTGTCAAAATTTATACTATGAATAGTAATGATCAGCATTAAAAAAATGTGTAAAACCAGATAAAAATAGTTTTTATATAATGTTCTTTTCGAGATGATGAATTTTTTTAGTAATTTTATGTTCATTTGAATAAAATTATTTCACGTTTTTACATTGAGTATTAATTAGAATAAACTTTTTTTTTGCAAAATTTGATGTTTACAAGTAATGAAAAACTAGTCAACGATTATTATTTTTTAATGAAATACAATTACAAAGTATTAAATATTGTTAATTTGATTTTTATTGAATTAAAACTTAGTAGAAATGTTTTGTTTACTTAGAATGCTTTTCAATAAATTAAGAAAAAACCTTTTTGTCGAACTTTTATTTTGATGTTACTTTAAATTTTATTAAGTACCCTTTTTGCAATTTATGAGTTTGTGTAAGAGCGCTCTCTATAAACAAATCTACATTCATATTCATACCAAAATCCACACTTTTTTGAGACTAATATAGTCAAGGCGAACAAAAAAGATTTCGTTTTATTTGAAATGATGAACAAGTTCGGAAGGTGGAGGTCTAGCTTTTGAGATCCCTCATGTTCTGTGAAAATTAAAAAAAAAACAGTGTCCCAAGTGTAGGCGGATATGGGTATTCTATTTCCTAACTGCATCTACACACCCCTGAAATTAGCTATTTCCACGTAGGTAGACTGAACGAAATAGCAAAAATCAATAATTTCTTTTTTCTTCTTATCTCTTTCGATACGATGACACTTATTCATTCAATGCAACAATGAATACAGAAACGTATGTCAACAGAAGCATGTTGGCAACAGTGAATGTCATCGTCAAGTAATAATACGCTGCCATCCATTATCCTTGTTTGATAAAGCGTGAAATAAAAACAGAAAGTGCAGATAACAACGTTTTGTCTTATTTTTTAGGTTTTTCATTTTTCTTTCTATTATGAATGACGACGATACAATTCTTTTTTTTTTTATATATTTCTTCGTTGTTTTTTTTCTCGCCTCATGTTGAATGCATATGTGAACAAATTTTTCTTCTAACGTTTTAGTAGCAGTATTTTTAAAAGAAAAAAAAACACGAATGTTTGAAACAAGACGTCCTTGAAATAGATTGCAAGCCGCTTTACAAAACCAAAAGTGTAAAAACAAAGAGAAAGAAAAAAAATGAAGTATATTTGGAGAAAGAAACGAAATATTTTTACTTTGTTGATAGATACCGTTTTGAATCATTTACGGAGTGTGGGTGTGGATAAAGAGAAGAACACTGACATCCACACCCACACCGCACAAACATTATCTGTTGATGATCCAAATGAATGTCAATATTGGACACTTGAAATCTCTAAATAGATGTATGATTATATAACACAATATATAACAAAAGAAGTGGATAATTCATTAAAATCTATGTCTGAAAAATTTTATCATCATGTATGTGAACAATTACCGAGTGGCCCAAAAATAAGGAAACAAAAGGGTATGGTATAATAACGGATAATAGATTGTTAATGATATTTTTCATACTTTTTATTGATGTAGACAGCTGAAATTTTTATCACACATATATCTAGTTCAGATCTTTTATTTCTGAAAGTTTCAGCTTTCCACACCAATAAAAAGTATGATTAACAATCTATTACCCATTATTATAGCATATCCTTTTTGTTTCCTTACTTTTGGACCACCCCGTATTTCAATTATTATCAAGTAAAAATGAATATATTCGTGTTAATCGTCGTCATTATTGATGTGATCGAAAACATTTAAGTATATCATCACATCATCGTCTTATTGCATTAGTTGATCGATTATATTCAATAAAAACTGAAAATGAACATTTAAATTATTCTACAAATTTTCTTCTTGAACGTACAACACATAATCCAGATTATAATCGTTTCATAGTTGAAAATCCACTTGATAAATGTATACTTCAAGAGTTTCCATTACTATGTAATTGGCATCAACAATGTCATACATATATGTCACCATTATTTACATTATAATCTCAAACTACAAATGATACAGATATAATGACCATAGATCCAGTTCATTTTATGCAAACATTTACAGAACAAAATAATAAAATTGAGGGTGTGGGTGTTTATCTATTCTTTACGGAGACCCACACTCACACCCAGACCTACACCCCCACACGCCCACGCCCACGCCCACACACACACCCACATCCACACCCAAACCCACACTCACCCACCCTTTATTTTTTTCTTTGTTTGTTTCTGTCACTCGTGATAATCTATCGACCAATAAACGGCTAGCTTTGTCGGTCAGTAAACGGCAAGTCGTTTGCTTGTATAGAAGGATGTGGGTGTGAATCTGGATGTGAGGTGTCGTTGTAAACAAGAAGACATCCACGTCCACGTCCACCCACACTCACACCCCACATGCACATCTACGCCCAACACCCACACCCACACCCTCATCCTTCTCCTCGTGATCATTTTGTGGCCGCCCTCTTTTCATGTCTTTTTTCCGAGATTCCCACGATCATCTTGACTCAAATAACATCAAATTATGGCCCCTCAATTGCTCTATCTAGGACAAAAAAAGTTGAGAACGCTTCGCCATGTTACTTGGCGATGGACTGTCTTACACAGAACAAGTCAGGCATATTTGGCGGGCTACAATTTGATGTAGTGTGAGTGAATGGGGTTACGAAAACCTCGGAAACAAAACATATAAAAAGATGTCGATCACAAAATGACTAAAAATTCGACAATAGTTCATTTACATTGCATTCTTCGAGACTTTTTGAAGAAGGAAAAAATAGAGTTTCATCATTTATTTTTACATAAGCAAATTTCATCGAAGATACAATTACTACTTAAGTCATGCTTATTTTTTAGTAAAGGTCATTGGAACTGTTTGTCGAGCGGTTGCACGACGAATTTTTGTTTTAACTAATGCCCAGATTTCTGATATTGACGTCAAATATACGAAGGGCACACATAGGGGTTCTGCAATAGCAAGGAAACTAAAAAAATTTGCTATCGGTGTTGGTATAGTATTGGGAGCAATATGATTCAAGAAACTGGTGATACTATACGGTAGTATGGTTGCAATACTGAGAAATGATATAGAAACAATTTGATAAGTCATTTTTTTGTACTTCCGCCAAATAAACGCTCGCTGAAGACGACGCTTCGAGTATATTACACGAACCAAAAGTGCAATACTGAATATAGCAGTACATATTGAAGGAAGCATATAATTAACCACCTTGCTCCACAACGCCATAGGTACAGAACTTGAGTGACAGGGACCGTTACAATAATTCTTTTGAAATAGATATGGATTTTTGCAGCTATAAAAAGCAAAGCCATAAGTATAGTAACATATGCCGTATCCAATAATTATAAAAGGTGGTGCATAATGCAAACATATATTTCTCCATTTCGAGCGAAGAAATTGTTCGTGAAAAATCAGAATATGCCGTTCAAATGAAGCCCATGCCAGTAACATTAAGTTGACCGTCCAAGTGCAATAATCAATAAATTGCCACATATAACAATAGACACCACTCTGAATAAGTGCTGTGCCGCGCCAATAAAAATACATTTGCGATGGAATATCCAATATGTTACAAGAAAACTGGAGAATTAGGATAATGAGAAGACAATAATTATTCGGTGCTGAACGATGAGTTTTGTGAGTGAACATGTAAATAAGGATGAAAATATAACAAATGAATGATGGCACTCCAAAGCCAAGTAAAATGTTAAATCTCGCGAATTCACTAATTATTCGAACATAAGTATTTTGTTGAGTGTTACTGGTATTGCCAATGGTTCGGTTTATATCTATTTCCATCTTGAGTCTTAATCCTTAATAACTTAGTATGTAAACACAACTACCTTATTTTAATAAATTTTCTACTCATTTCCCTAGGGTTTAATTTTTTTTATATGCTCCTGCTCTCACATACAGCAAGATTATATAGAAACATCTAAGGATAATTTCTGTCTAACAAATTGACGTACCAGAAAGCATTGATGTCATTCATTTGATGGATGATATATTTCTTATAGTTTAGTCTTGCGTAGAATATGTTTACATTGTGATGAATGCATGAAGACATTTTTGAGAGACAACTAAGTGAATCGATGCGATATTAATTATATTTGGCGTCGGTGTTGAAATAAAAAAAAAACAGAAATCATAGTATTCTGTATTAAGTTGAGCATGCACTAAAAAGTGCATTGTAAAAAAATTACATTTTTTCACAACTCTCGAGCAGGTCTATGGATGTTTGAGTTAGGCAAATCATTATTGCAAATACATTTTTGGAACAGATGAATCCATGGGAAACGTACCACATGTACATCAACTTTCTCAGAATTGACTGAAACTTTCAGCATTTGTAGAGTTCAACGAGCTGATCATTTTGGTAATAAATTATTAAATGTTTGATTATGGATTGTGGTTGAAATGAGCAACATACCGTTTTCAAAAATTTCGGAAAATTATGGTCAAAGTGAGAAGTTCTGATTTTTGCAAGAACGTTTCCTCTTTTATTTTAAGATCAAAATGGAACATCCTATACATGTTCTGATAGGCTGCGCTCAGTTCTATCGAACCACATATAAATCAAGAGGTTCCCGTTTTCTAAGAGAAATTTTTTAAGGCTTTTCCCCCCTCCAAAATCGATTTTCGTTACAGTGCATCGGACTTGCCTGAAACTTTCCACAAATGTTGGGCACATCAGAGTAAAGCTACGAATTTTTTTTTACTTCTCCAAACCTCAGCGTTCAGGAGTTTTCCATAGATCAAGGCCAAAAATGGGCCCTCTGGCAGTACAAACTTTTTTTTCACTATACTTCAACGGACTGAATCGGGGATTGTTTTATTTGAAGAAGAACTGTTTACCGCTTGGACTGAGGGAAAGAGATTTTTTAAATTTTCCTTTGTTCAATTTAGGGACGTCCAAAACTCCAAAATTCTGAAAATCTTACCCCAACGCTTTTGAAAAACCCTGGATTTCTCTCAGATTGACGATGAAATAAAAAATCCCTTTCCCTCATCCGAAGCAGTACACATGTATGTATCGACTACAAAAAACCGCAGCTCTCTAGGACGAAGTATATTGAAAAAAAATTTGTTCTGCTGTCGATATTTAGCACAAAAATACGTTTTGAGAAAATTGATAAACAAAGTGAAAATTATTTTTAAGCTATTTTTGGGAAACAAAGAATTCTAAAGGATTTCTAGAAATCTGGCATTGCCATTACATCAAACATGGAGACAAACATGTATAATCAAAATTTTAGAATTTCCGTCATCAGGTAAAGAAGAGAGAAGATTTTCAATCGCTGAGACAAACACCAAAATAGGTGTCCGTATTCGGCAAAAACTTTTGTAACTCATTCTAGGTATCAAATTTTATTCTGAAAATTTGGATACTATGGTAACTTGGCACGCTGAATACGATAGTGATTTTGGTTTTCTTTAAAAATTCTAAAAATCGGGAACGGTCTCCTGAAAGCCTAAAAAAGTACAGGTTAGCTATAAAAAAATGATTGAGAACGGCCAAAAAACACTCATATCCTAAAACCAAAGACATGCACTGAAAGAGGAGAGTTCAGTAAATCATCCTCCAACAAAAACTCAATTTTGAAATTTTTTCAAAAAATCTAATTTTTGGAGGGGGAGCCTTAAGGAGACCACAAAAAGTTCATTGTTACATAAACTTGCTCTTCTAATAAAAAACCTCTTCCGAATTTGGGTGAACTTTGGTCTAGTAGATTTTGTAGAGCGTCGCTTGCTCTATCTTCCGTGATTTCATGGTATACCAAAGGCGAGACACTTATTGAAACCTATTGGAAGAGTGTCTTGCAAACGTTCCAAGGTGTTTTTGTTGGAGAGCCTTTGGCAAATCCTTGGAGAAAAGTCGTTCCTTCTATTGGATAAATTATTATTGAATTTCATAAACTTTGCGAGTCAACAGACCATTTATTTATTCTAACAATTCAAATAAATTCATCGGCTATATTCAGTTGATTCTTGTTTAAAAACTAGCAAAAAATGCAAGAATATTGAGTAAACATTTTAGAAACTTGATTAACGACAAAAATCAAACATAAATTGTAAATTGTCTTGTGTAGATTGATGAAATGATTAGGGTATCATACCTAGAATACATTGTGGTGAAATTCTGATGAGTTTGGATTAATATCTGTATTAGATCTGTCATCTGTTTTTCAGATAATTTCATACGATAACAATGCCAATATATTTGTAAAATCACACGCCAGAGAATAATTATATTTAATTACAATGCTGATCTTTCCTGATGAATTAGGATAAGTTTGGAACCTAATTAACTGCATAAGGATCGAGTTTTTCAAATGGACAATAGTTTCATGTGAATAGTAGCCGTATTGGTCGAAATACTTTGCTTCAGTGTTTGGGGTTTAATCAAATGATTAGCATCAGGAAAAGTAAGAGAAATTGCTTATTAAAGATGCGGTTTTTATTATTAGACACCTCGTCATTATCTCATAATTTGTCTTCTTCACGCGTCAATTTCCTTGGAAGGACATATTGAAAACAGTTGTATGGGTGTAATCTGATGGGAGTGGTATGCATTTCATATAGTGGCTACTACTTGGTTTCAAAATGTAAAACTTTTCAAGTAAGCAGTCATGATTGGCAATAGATTTTGACGTTGATTTTTTCGGATGTAGCTGTGCAGACAACAATTGTAGTCGATTTCTTTTTGATGCTTCAAACTTTTTTACGCGGTGTTTCGCCTTTCGCATTGGTTTGGTTGAATGATGAGGACAAAAATTTCGTGTATACAGGACAAAGGAGTCTCCAGTTCGTTTACTTTTCAGAATGATTACTACGTAGTTTACATGCTCGACGATCCGAAACTGAAATATCTACGAAAAAATTCTTTTAAAATTTGATAACCTATATAAGAGTCATTCAACTGCTTGAAAACATCATGTTTTACTAACCTATTATCGACTCTTCGACCTACCCG